TACAAATAGTGTAAAGGTATTGAAACTTTATACAGATGAAATATGCTTTTTTTAAAAATAAAATCCTTTAAAAGGAAATCCTGCCTTTTTGGTGAAAAATTTTACTTTACGATAAATTAAATTCAAAGTAATATGTTTTCCCTTAGGCTGAATTTGTTCTTATTAGGTGTAGTAGCCCATGAAAACTGCAAATCCTTCTTTGTACTGATTGTTAACAAAATTTATGTTTCTGTTGTTTAATTCCAAGATTTATTTTCTAGGGTTTATAATGTTAAACAACATCCAAAATATAAAAACGGGGAATGGACAGAGGATCAGTGTTTCAGAAAATTTTTGGATTCCTTTGACACACCAGATGATAAGGATGGCACAGTAAGTCTTTTAGATTGACACAAAAGTTTGATAGCATTGCTTATCTTTTTAAGACTTTATAATACTGCTTTGGCTTGAAAGATATGCAGATCAAAGTTTTGTGTTGCCCACCCTTCTTTAACAGAGCTTGTATATCTTTGAACTCTTTACCCTCTTCCTACTTCCAAGACTCGTAGGGAACATTCTTGCTCTCATCTCTCCATGCTTTAGCTTCTCCATACCTTCCCTTGTTAGAGATTGACTATAGGTCTCAAGGCCACTCTCTAATATAACTGACTAAAAAAATTACTTTTAGACCAATAGAACCATCAACATTTCAATCCAAAGGAATTTATGAATCAATTAATTTATGTTTTGATGCTCGAATAGCAATGTTAGAAACATTGAAACAGAATCATAATGCAATGCTGAAGATCAGGTTTGCTGAAAATTACTTCCTTATAATCACATGGCTTGCACTGAAATGAAAAAAAACTTGACAGCCATTAGATAACAAAGCTGATATTTCTTCTATTTTAGATAACACTTGATGAATTCATAAATTATTATTCTGGTGTGAGTGCCTCCATAGACAATGATATGTACTTTGACCTAATGATGAGAAATGCTTACAAGCTGAACTAATACACCACTGTCACAGAAGAAGATCTTAATTCTTCACAAACAACCTATGATTAAAATCACCTTGCTGAACAAACTGCCATCCTTATTGGAAAAAAGGTTTAGAAAATGGTGTTTCATTTCTTCAAGTTTACTCAGAAGAAAGTTTTTCGGGATCGTAGTAGTGCAGTTTATTATATTTCATGACAATATTTAGCCAGCAAATGTAATATTCCAGTGCGTTATTACTGTTAAATATGCAAAGAAGATTAGTTTCATTTAAAACAAATAAAGCCAGGTTATTGGCTGTATGCTAAAGCTTTTATGCTTTTATTTTGAAAACTTTTCCAGAACACTTGTGGATTAAGAGAGAAACATTGCATTCCTATTCCTAAATTTTATGAAATATTCTATTCTGAAGGGTATTTTTTGTTTTTCGTATATCAATTGTAGACATGTAAAATTTTTCCTTCTGTTAAATTTTGGTTTTATTTTTAGAAATACTTTGTAACTTTTATGTTAATATGCACAATGACTCAACTGGATTTATGCAGAATTTGGAGACCTTTTTGTTTCCTAACACTATTCAATTTTAAGAAGATAAACATAAGTCAAGGCTTTTATCTTTGTCAATATATCAGACAATTTTTCGTGTTTAGTCTTTTTGCTCTGTCGTAATCTTCAACATAACCAGTTCTGGATGGTAGCTACCTTTAGTAAACCTATTTTAGGCTGTGTTATTACAATAAGCAGTCTTTAGTAAAGAACCATAGGTACAAATTAAGTGAAAATATTTGGCACCCGGAAAAATTCTAAAGATAACGCCAAGGAAGCGTTGGAAGCATTTGTTTCCTATCACTGCAAATTACGGCAATGCGCCAAAGTGATTTTGAGGGACTGTTGCTGGATAGAAGTTTCTGCCTTTTTTCTTAGGGGTCCCTTTTGGCTGGGGGGCCTGGGGCCATGTCCCCCCTGGACCATGGCTAAAACCGCCAGTGTCAACATGCCGCGATTAAAGAGTCATCTTACTTTGCCTAATGTTTCCAAGAATCATTCTAATTAGATATATAATTTTGCCATTAAAAACCATCTCTCTCTGTGAATATCATTCAGTGGGTGGACCTTAAGACCCGGTCCGTCCTACAGCCAGCTTCTAGTTGACGCCTTAATCTGAATTGAGGGATGAAAACTTGAAATTGTTGCGAAGGGTGTCATAAGCAAAATCAAAGTGCTTGGCACTTCTAATTTCATGTTAGGTCCTCGTTTTTATGACTAAAATGGTACAAAACTCAGAGTCAGGAAAACATTACGGTCGCACGGCCAGTGATCGGGAGAAGGTCCACGAAAAACAATAGAAGTTCAGATGACACACCCAAGCCACGCCCACTTTCTATTGTTTTGTGAGGAAGGTTTGCTTTCTGCGATGTTTTTGTCTGGAGGAAGGTTAACAACTTTTCTGGACTCTGGCTTTTTTATACAAATTTCCCCTAACGGCATCTTGCTTCATCAACTGCTTCTTGGTTTTAACGTCCACTGAACCATTTCGCATAAAAGAATTGATCGCCAAAAAGTCTGAAAGCTTAATGTGTTGTCACTGGTTGTAGTAAATTTGCCGATAAAAATATCTTTGCTTACTGAAGCAGTTGATGAGGGCTGGATCAAAGTAAATGTTTTAAAAACTCATTTCCCTTTGTCGTCCTTCCCTAACCAAATACATCGAAAATATAATAGTTTGGATTAAGAATCTACTTCAAAAACTTGATCGCTTTTGGATTAGTAGCGTAGCCCATGCTGCAAGATTAGTAGAAAGCAAGAGCAAACGAAGCGTGTCTAGCTGTTGTGGGGGGCCAGGGGGCTTCCAGGAATTTTGTTTAACGTTGCCCTATGGAGTGGCTCTGCATTAGATTATTGCTCGTCTGAGAAACCTCTAGGGTAACAACTTTCTGACCACATGGGGAAGCGACTGCATCTTTGCGCCTTGTCCGCTATCTATCTATGCCAGAGCCTTGACCAAGATGATTTAGATTGAATCAGCTGATTCAAAATTTGGCAGGTTTGACATCCGTTATTAATGTGCACTCCTCCTCCAAACGTCTGGCCAGCCAGAAGGCCATCTGAGACCCTTGTAGGGAACTAGGGTGATAGCATCGCGGGGACATTATACGTCGTCATGTGACATTCATTGTAAAAAGACAGACTCGAGGTGTTACAGTTGGGAATATAGTTGTGTTGAGTATAGTTACTGTTTGTTTTCAAACTTGATAAAGTAAACATTAATGCAGCATCTGGATTCATTTCGATATATTCAAAGTATAAACACAAGGTGTTATTATTTCTGGATTAAATTCTTGAGTGTAATTCTCGATGACGAATAGGACTGATTCCCTACATTTTCTCGGTAACATTTAAACTAAAGCGAATTAAAACATTAATTTTGGTGCCGTGACCCGGGAACAGATTTGTTGAATTTTTGAAACAGTGTATGTAGCGGTATACGAATTGAAGAAAAAGATTGCTACCTGTACCAGGCATATAGACTCGATGTTTGAAATACCTACAAGAGGGTAAGAGATTCACGTAATATGCTTAGGCGGCACGCTCATCAAACAATTCTTTAACGGAGGTATCAAAGTTAAAATTATTGCAAGGTCAAAAGCATTGAATTCATCGATTGCCGTTCAACTCTCAGAAAAGGGTATTGAACATGATTTATAAGACAGCAGTGGCGGCTCTTGCTAATGGCCATCTGGGGCAATGCCCCCTCAAAAAGATTCAAAGGAAATCTATGATATTCATATTTAATTTTGAAGATAGTCTCACTGTGGTTAATTATATAAGTTTGTATCTCTTCTAGAAAAAGCTCCTTGCTATTCCGTCTCGTCCTTAGCCTCGCTTCTGGCCCGCTAGTGCCTTGAGCGATGATGTCATTTCACGGGCAAAGTTTTTTTTGCCCCTAGCCGACATGCGCACAAGCTAATTTTCGACCTCGAGCATTGCGAAACGCGGCCTGTGATTGGCTTATTTGGAGGAATTCGGGGCAAGAAAAATTTTGCCCATAAAATGAAATCATCGCTAAACAACAACCACATCTATATATGCTTCTTCTTCTGCGCTCCATGACGATCAACATCGAACCATGGATACAGTGAATAATTTGCAAACTCGACCTTTCTATCGATTATCGCAATATTGATGGTCTGCCCTCCCAACTGTGAAAGTCACGAGCCGCCACTGTAAGACAGGGATTGCCTTTTGCTTTCCACAACCCTTAATGATTGTTTCATAGGACAGTAACGAATTACCTTGAGAGAAAATGCATGCAAAATTAAAACCAGATGAATCCAGCTCTAAATTAGAAATCTCATAGCAGAACGAAAAAAACCGAAAACATGTTTTATTTAACTCGAGTATTGGTAGATCCCGATCGTCGTTCCATCTAGCAGTTTTGGAATCGGTCTACATACAAAGGAAAAAACCCATTGTATAGGTAGAAGGAGTTATTTCTCTCTTGGACTCCAGTGGTCAATTTTATCCAGGCAAGCGACAATTTGATTGGGCAGCCTCAACAGTCACGTGCTCACGTTTCTGTTGGCCTATTTCGATCAACAATTGGGATTATATATTTCCTAGCGTAGAGTTTTCGATCTATGTTCCAACGTTTTATACTCTGAAGAGTGTAAAACGAAAAGCTTAAGTATGTTCTTTTCAACAAGGGGGAAACTTCTGTTCTCCATAAGTGATTGTTGTATTTTTTTAGGTATCTGATTCTAAGTTTAATCTCAAGAGCATTTTGCATACATAGCAGGACCAAGATGGTTATATTAAAAGGAGGTCCAAGGGCCTATAGCAATGCCTTGACAAGGGAAAGAAAAGGGACGAAGAGGAGAGGTAGGTTAGTTGAAGTTTTATGATTGCAGGTTTGAAAGAAAGCAAGATAAAAGCATCTGGGGAGCAAGAAGAGGGTAAAGCGTTTCAAAGTTTATAAGATCTGAGAAGAAATGATGAGCAGCTGTGGGCCAGATCACGTACATAGCGGCGATAAGGAAGAAGGTGGAGTGAACTTGCCAAAGTCTCTCTCTTGACAGGCAAGTTGCAAATAGGGGCCGAAAAATTAAACCGCGGAGCTGGACTACGAAAGTAGGGGCCCATTTGTCCTGTGCCCTGACTTATTCGCCATTGACATTGGTTTTCTAATAGAAAATTAAAACCACGATGGATACCATTTAACTGTACAACATAACAAAGATATTTACCGTTGGTTTAACAGCGAGAAGATCGTTCAAACCTCAGATAAATTTCCCACATTTTATACCGATTCAAGTGAAATTCATATACCATAGTCACCTAAATTGTTTTTACACAAACAACTAAACACTTTAAAATATTAAAACAATGAGAAACTTCAACTGGGGAAAAAAGCAGCTCCTAATTTGGTTTGGTTTACATACCATTAAGGGTTACTTAGCACATGTTGCAGTAAGCTGCTTTTTTTCTAGCAAACACATTTATCTTATTTGATCGCACTTTACAGTATCTAACTAAGGCCGAATCTGCTAATGGACAAAAGGTCAGGCTTGAGGATATTTTCGTAACGATTCGCATTCGCAGTATTTCGAAGCAGTAATGTTTTCATTTCGATCTTATTGGCATCTTGAAGCCGAGCTACAGTGCCGTGGAACGATGTTTGAATTGGGATGGGGGCTGCCCATTGCATTGCTTCTTAGTCAGAACACTATTATAAAGGAAATATAGTACAGTTTGACATTATTAGGGGCTCCAGTTCTCCGCTTCCGACTTCCGACGGCCTTGAGCTAGCAACTGGCGCTTGGAAGGTAGATGCGCTGGTAGCCATCATCAAAACAACAGGAATCTTGATTAAATAAGGTGAACCCGAAAAAAATACTATGTTACTGTGATTTTGCACTCTGAAGGTGCAAAGTCATCTAAATATGTTTTAAGAGAATGAGAGAGAGATGGTCAATGAAAGATTATAAGTTTGTTAACGAATTACTGCACTTTTCTAGGTTTATAAAGTTGGTGAACGCTCGTATAGGGCGGGATTTCGGTTTAATGGGATTTACGCCAAAGGGTAAATTTAGCCCCCTTTACACAGCCAAAACCATCCTCGCATACCCAGCGGTAAATCAGCACCCTCCCCCCCTGAAGAATGCAAAAACAATAACAAACTATACGTGCAGCGGCACAGATGTTTGATGCCTGTGAAATCAATTTCATTGATTTTTAAACTTAAAAATAGAATTTTTGCGCTGTGCTTGGAAACTAATATCGGAAAAACAATTTACAGTCTGATCATAAAAGTTGAAATTGATGAATAGTGATGCATTCACTCAATACAATGATCGATAAGCTAAAACCACGTAATCACAGATGAAAGACTCGAGATTATCAAACAAACAGAAGGATAAATTGTGTATTTTTATCAGCTGCAAAGGTTTACGGCTGTATGCTTTAATTAAAAATATGACCGTGCTTTGAAGGCAGAGACTTGATATCCAATGTGTAAACAACACAAAAATATGCACAATAAATATCATGTACGCTCGACAGTGACTCATTTGTCTGCCTCTTATCCAAGTTGAATAGGATCATTTGAAATTCAATGTACATAGCTCCGCGCTTCTGGAGAGTATCGTTAGAAACAAGCCACACTTGGGCGTCAGTGACGTAAGGAGCATGCATTTTATATGGATGAAGCTAGAAAAGTTATCATAAAAGTTAATAATTAATTTACGACAGCAGATGACGCGAGAATAAGTGCAAGTCATAAGAACATGACACTGCAGTGATTTACATAAAGCGAGCTGATCAAGTCTGCGTCTGATAAAACTAGTCCTGTACAAGATGGCTTTAAATAGTACATTTAGTTACACGACTGTCGTGGATTTCCCAGCAGAAGTTGACTTTTTGGTTAAATGTCTCTTCGTTTTGGTATCATTATCAAGCTTTTTCCTAAACGGATCAATCTGGTATGCTGTGCTAAGAAGCAGCACTTTGAAAACTGCCACAAACTACCTCTTACTGAACATGTGTTTGGCTCATATGATCGGTGCATTCGGAATCCAGCCATTCGTGTTCATGGATTATATAAATACCTTCAACGCTTCCCTGCAAGTGAAACATATGGTGTGCGCAATTACAGATGGCGTCTGGGTTTACTTCGTTTGCAGTGGAGTTGCCCTTGCCAGTTATTGCGCAGTAACACACAAGAGATACCTTTCCATTACAAGATTCATTCAACCAAGCTACTTCACAACAAAGTTTTGCATCATGCTTAATGCTCTGATGTGGTTAATAATTTCTGTCGGCTGCATACCATTTTGGGTTTCGTACAAGTATTCTGAAGTTGAACACCTGTGCAACCGTGAATGGGGAGCTCTCAATAAACAACTTAGTGCGTCTGTATACTACGCACTCACTCTGGTCCTGCCTTTGGCATTTCTCCTGCGCAGTTACATAGCTTTAATACTGGCAATAAAAAAAGCCAAGTCCGTAACCCGCAGTGTCAGTATGACACGGTCCACTGTTTTGCTGAGGGCAAAAAAAGTTCTTCAAATGTTGGTTCTTAGTTTCCTAGTCTGCTGGTCTCCATTTTTTGCCTATTGGGCAATGTCATATTTCACGCAGATTTTCTCGCAAAGAAAAGTTCTCAAATTGCAACTCAGTCGCATAGCCGTTCTATTCACATCACTAAACTGCTGTCTCGATCCGGTTATAAACATCTGGGGCAGTAGGGAGCTCCGACTGGCAATTGAATTGCACTGGAAAACGATCCTTAAAAAGACAAAGTTGCATGTCATTGGCAATTTACTGAGACACTGTTTTTCAACTAGAAGGGGCAAGATTCGAGTGACAACAGTCAGCCCCTAGCTTGTGTTCATTAGAACATTAGCACCCCTCCCTCATCAATTAATGCAGCCATCCCTTTTCTACCTAATGAAAACATTTTCACTGCGTGTTGAAGTACACACGATGGTTGCACAGTCCAATCTGCATGACAGCGATAAATCGGTTAATGAAAACTCTTTCCAGATTGGAAACTTTTGAAAACGCATGCAGACATGAGGCTATTTATTTGTTCAATCAAGATTAAAATTAGATTTTCTTAAAGCACATCCGTGTGGATGTGGCCTGAATCACGACAAAATTTGTGTGCTACGCTTTTACGACATACTTCTGCGCAAGCGTACTAGTGTTCTCCACGTGGACGAAATTACGATTACATCATTGATGAACCAAGTTGTTGTTGTGTTGCTACAGCAGCAGCAATATAAATGGCGTTCCATAACAAGGAAGTTTAGTTGCAAAGAAGACCACTTGAAAAGCTGCAAACAGTTTACACTGCGAACAGTTGACTTCTGTGGGGAATCGGCACGACGATTGATTATTTTTTATGCAGTAAAAGGAAAAGATGACTGATGTTGTGCTGCAACAAAATCATATTCTCAACATGCACACTGACACAGCAAGAGATTCGGACTCGTCTTCCGAAGATGTCTTCATTGAGTTAGCTCAGGCATGGAATTACGTTAGAAAATGGTATGGTTTTAAAGGAAAACCAAGAGCTGAGACTTTAGACAGAGTAACTTTCAAGACATCAGGAGATAAAACAAGATGTCAGCCTAAATCGTCCTCGTGCAGTATTCAGTTTCAAAATTTACCGGTTCGTACTTTTTTAACCTTACTTAACTCAAACTTAACCAAAGTTTAAATGACATTTTTAGACGAGAAAGCCTTCTAGGTATAGATTTTTTATTTTTTCAACTGACAAGCGAGTCATTATCATTGCCAGGAGGCCAGTCTGCAGAGTATGGCATGTGCACACCGGAGATATTTTTGTGCAAAACCTGTTGCACACCAGGTATTTTTGGGTGTGGCAACTAAGATGGGTGTGGCTTGGTGTGGTCCCATAGAAAATGTCAGCTGATATAAACAAGCACAGTTGTGTATGAACAATTTGAGATATCATGAATCTTACTTGACAAATATACAAATAAAAACTTGCGCTATCTTCAACAGTATACTTCACACGCATTTTTACGGTGAAATGCAAATTCACAAATTTTAACCACAACAGGGGAAAATAGTCGGTGCACACCAGCACACCAGACATTTTTGGTGGTGCACACCGGCACACCAGGCTTTTTGCTCGTGCACACCGGAGATCTCGTCGAAAAGTGCCATACTCTGCAGACCGGCCAGGAGGGGTATGCACCAGATTGGAATCTGTTTCATGTCCATGAAAATTGCGCATTTGTAAAAAGCACAGATAAAAATTTTGTGCGGCTGAGACTAATTACCTTAAAAACACAGTATGTAACTTTTGGGTATACATTTCAGAGAAAAAACATCATCAGTGGTGATAAAAAACAATATAGCAAAGATAAACATTTTTCATAATTCCTAAAAATAAGAACGAGAGGGACCCAACCTGATGAGAATTGTTTCCGTAAACCAAAATCTGATCAAATTTTGTGCATGGTAATAAATTAGATTATCCTGTTCCATGTGTATTTTACTCCCAGAAATGATAAAAATATCCTTCACATGTTTGCTGTTATTTGGCATATGTGTACAAAAACCAGCCTCGTGTGTACACAAGCATAAAGTAATGACGATTTAGAAGATCTGCAACTCTGAGGGTCTTCAAATTTCATTAAAAGCATCAGTACATACAAGATACGTTTTACAGTTAAAGATTAATCCTGTGCAAGTGGATGAGTCATTTTAAAAGAAATCGTTTTCTTTGAAAAGGGTAGTTTTCTCTTTTTAAACTCTGAAGTAGTTTTAATTTCAGTAGCTCTTTCTTTCTCGTAGGTGAATATACAGCTAAAGATATTATCCTTTCTGGATGTTTATTCTTTATCAAGATCTGCAATGGTGTGCAGGCAGTGGTACGATTTAGCAAATGATGATATTTTGTGGGAATCAAAACTCAAGGTTGATGTTCACAAATGGCATGTTATCGATCACTTAAGTCATCCGGAACTCTACCAAGAAACCCAAACAGAATTTTCCCCCAAAGAAATGTAAGTTTGCTTTCATATATAGAACTGTACAATCTTTTTAAGACTTTTATAGAGAGGGATTTGACCCCCATGCAAGCTATTTTGTGGCTCCTGGTATTGGCTTAAATGTGAGTTGACCCTTGAATGTTTGGATTGTTCATTGCCTTGTGTTAGACTAGTGTAGGTTTGCTCATATCCTTGAATAGCCGAAATGACAAGCCTGAAACTTTACTCAACAAAACCTGACTTTGCTCAACAACATTGAACGGGATTTAAAAGACTTTTGACATCTATTTGTTGAGTTTCATTAAGTTCTTGAAAGCATTTTTATGCCATCCTAAATCGGTGGCTACCACAATAATTAAATTCAAAACTTGATATTGGAAAGAAGGGTTTAGTAGAAAAGGGGCTTTTTCAAAGCTCGAAATTGGAGAAAGGAAGCCATTCAATACTTAAATTATAGTTTACAACCACCTGAAATTTGTCACCCAAGAGTCTTGCTATATTTTACAAAAACGTTTTCAAAAAAACTTTTACAGAGTGTAAAGTTGATTTCAGGTGTTGGAAAAACTCTATTGCTGTAGTTATGTGAAGAAAATCTTGCGAAAAATTATTTTCTTTTCATTTCAAATGTCCTTGAAATCAGATAGTAGTGCTTATTCATAAAGTTTTCTAAGAAGATTATTTTGGCTTTGGATATCAATTTCCATTTTTCTTCTTTTTAGATACTTGAGCTGCTGTCCAGAGTGTCGTCACAAAAGGCAGACATCATTTAAACTCAATATCCCAAGGATTTCCTTTTTTCTCGGATTTTCAGTGCCCAAAGTTGTTATGTTTGGTCCAGGACTTGAATCAGAGACTAGTGCCATTGTCAGAAAAATTCTTTCAGGTCAAAATTCACCATTTGTTGTCAGAGGGATGTTCCCTGGGCAGTTTGATGGTAGGTCAATATAAGAAGATATTTGAATCATAATGATTTATTTTACTGCAGATGTTTGTCTTGAAATCAAATTATGCAACCATGCCATTTTATTTATTTCTATATAGTGCGCCAATAAGATAAAAAAGTTGTTGATCAACATTTATAGGAGGTAAATGTAAAATATTTCAATATGTTGCAAATTCTTTTAATTTATGTAAATTTCTATAAATATTCGCCATAAAAGTGTAATATATTTTTACATTAAATCACATTCGGTAAAGAAATGTTTATATAATATTTAAAACCTCTGTGCTAACAGTTCAATTGCTTTTGAAAATTTGACATAAAAATTCAGCCAATATACAAGGTGACCAGTGATGTTTAAGTTCTGATTAAAATTGAGTTTCATTCTTTCTAGGCATTGGCTCTGGGGTTTCACTGCAATATGATGGTGGGCAACTTAATCTCATTACACTTTATTCAGCTTCAAGGTAAAATGATTCAATTCTATTTTCATTTTGAAAAAAAATCTTCAGAATTCAAACCCTGCTTCAAAAGAAAATTCATGTAAAATGTTACAACAATATTCTTAGAATTGGTCATAAACTACAGTGGAATTTTAAGATAATGAACTTACAAAAATAAAGAACTTGCTTGAGCACGTGGCTTTAAGTGGGTGTGCAAGCAGGCAGGCACCTGTTGTGAATGATTAAATGTCCCTCCATTGATGAATGTTTCTCATAGAAAGCAATTTTATGATGCTGTGAATTTTTAAGACCTACTCCTGAAATAAGCCAATCCACTCGAGAAAATCATTTTTTAATTGGGAAACTTTGACAAAAGAAATTAATTATTTTGTGCTACCAAATGTTTGATATTATATATGCATACCCCACCCTGATGATGCCAGTTTTTGGTCATGCACTTTATTTTCTAATTTTAAACCAAGGTTTTGCCAAGTAGCCAAGTAGAAATTTTAAACCAAGGTTTTGCCTTGTTACGCAATATGGTTGGTTTTACTGGGAGTTAGTTATAGGAGGGTTTGTTGAGTTAGGTTTCGCCTCTATGTACCTGCTTACTTCTGCTCAGTTGTAGTGGCAACAATTTTTGTGATGACTTCATCACTCTCATAAACATGGACTGGCATTATGATTTGATATCAACTTATCAAATTTCAGTGGTTTAACTTTGCATGTTCATTTCCTACTCTTTTAGGAAAGAAAGAGAAAACAATGCAGCAAATGGAGTCAGAAGAAATAGGTTTATTGTAAAAAAAGATGATTTAGATGCTGAAGGGAATATTGAAGATGGAGATGATAGCTTGATTACAGTAACTCAGCCAATCAAGAACTTATGTGCCTCTGTTGATGCATTTATTTATGTGGTTGACTCAACTTTGGGTGCAAATAGAGGTAAGTTGTTTTACATTTTTTGACACTAACCTAATACTCATGCTTATGTTGAATGATCTTATTAAAGGGTGTTTAGATGCCAGTAAATGGCAGTGGTGAACAAACAGAGCAGTGGTGTACCATTAAAATGTACTGTTTCTGTTTGCATAAATTCTGAACTTACTTTTGCAAAAGAATTCTGAACTTCAGAAATGTAGCGGCAAAGTCGGAAATTATCAAAGAAACTTCTTTGATAATTCTGAACTAATATTGTTATTTTTCCTTTCCCCTTAAAGCTCCACCCCTGTTAAAAGGCGTTGCAATGAGAGGTGCTCGAGCTTGGCCAATATAATGCTTGGTCAATTCATCAAGACATATTGACATATTCCATAATAATATTCCATCATTTCAACAAAATTGCAAATCTCATTCCACATGATAGAGTACATTTTAATTTTCCTACAATGGTTTTTGCAGTGAGGCAATACCCTCTAATTCCCCTGCTTTTAACTATCACCATTATGTTGTCCAGTTGTTTGAAGGCATTGTCCTTTTCTATTTTTTAACAAAACAGTTTTCAGTCTTTTCTAGATTTTTCTGTCTAGAAGAATTTGCATGTCATCTAATTTATTTTATTTTCCTGCAGTGGACATTGGTATTGAAGAACTGAGAGCTGTGGTCAATGATCGATGGGTGCATTCAAAGGCTCCCCTGCTTGTTCTGTCATGTGTAGCAAATGCAACTAATGGACAGTTTTCCTCTATAAATGTGGCAAATATATTAAAATTGAGAGACCTGAACCGACCATGGCAAGTCAGGGCCTGTCATGTTAGTAGCTTGTATGGACTTCTACCTGGAGTTAAATGGTTGCTGCAGGAAGTTATGAAGTCATAATTGAAATGGAAAAATTTTAGCTCTTCGTTGAACTTAATTTCAATCTGAAAGAAAACATTATTTATACAAAAAGGAATTGGATTGTATCTTATGTTAAGAGCAGGCTTAAAAATATTGAATTTAACATTTTGTAGGAAGGTTAGGAATTTTTTATCAACTTGTACATACATTCTTTACATTCTGTAGAGTCAACTGAATGAATTTGATTATCTGCCAAGACTTTTTCTCTTTGGTCATAATTTTGAGAATTTTGCCTTCGATTTGCTCATTGAGGCTTGAGCTGCCTTCATTGTATCCTCTGTTTGCAACATGCCCATGTTCCATGTCATCTGTAACAAAGAGAAGGATATCAAACTTGGATACTCTTATCACTTTCATGAAACTGAAACAATTCTTTTCAAAGTACCTAAACAACAAATGTACCTAATGTCATTTGAAAATTATGATTTCAGGTAAAAGTTCACCAACCCTAAATTTGCTTTTGCAAGTTTTAATAACAAGGATTGAAACAAGCAGACTTTGCCATTGCATTAGCAAAGCTGCAAATCACATTTTGAAATAACATTAGCGTAGATCATGTTACAAGCAATAATATATCAATCAAAAGGCTATTTCCTTTTCCATGTGTATTTTACAAATCCATTTTTGTTCAATCAAAGCAAGAGCAGCAACAAACATCGTAGTTTTAAAATTAATTTGTGTATTTCATAAACTTTCAAAACAACTCTTGCTATTTCAAGATTCAAAATGTTGGCTACGCCATCCATTTGCCATCATGGTTATCTTGATGTAAGAACTGACTTCCAAAAGGTGTTTGTAATCAAACTTTGTAAGCTATTTCAAGATTCACAGTCCGAAGCTTGTTCAAGTGAAACTTGGCTAGGCCATCCGTTTGTTGTCATGGTTATCTCGATGGAAGAACTGATTTCTAAAAGGTGTTTGTTATCAAAGTTTATGAGCCTTCTATTTAACCTCAAAAGTCATTTCTGTGAAATAACTTTGATTCACAAAAAGGGGGATACTTGAAAATGTAGGCCTTAATATGAAAATATCAGTAAAGCTTTTTTTCAAACTAGTGTACATACAACATGTTTAAGGCCGTCTTCTACACTATGATCTCTTGCATAGATCAAATTCTCTTTGGTACCAGCAACAGCCACAGGACTTTTTTCAGCTATCTGTGATGCCATGGAAACAGCGCTTTCAACTAAGTCCTCTTGCGATGGGAAAATATGGCTGAAAAAAGAAAAGCAAATAAATTTGCAACTTGGTAAGCCTGAAGAAGCAGAGTCATAAGACTTTATACTGAAGTCCTACTTTTGGTTGACACTGCTCAGATTTTTAAGGGGTTGGGTGATGAAGCACCAGTGATGATATCAAAAAAAGTCTATTTTTAGATTTTTTGAATTATCATGAATCTGAAAAATATCTGAAAGACTATCGTCAAATATCTCTAAAGATGCTAAACTCAAAAGTATTTTGGGTCAAGTTGTTGAAAACAAAAAGGGAAGTTAATTGCTTATATTTATAGAATGACAATAGGAATCACTTCAAAATTTCAGGGAGGCATAAAGCCAAAATTAAATTACACAAATATTCAAAGTTAAGTCCATGATTAATTTATTAATGGAAAAACTACAATGTTTAATGGGGGTTCTCAAGAGAAAAAGGGGCAGCACAGGGTTGGCCAGGAAAGACCTCTGCAAATTTTCAATAAAATGGAGAGAAATAATGGTATAAATGTCAAAGGTTTTATCAACTAATTGCTGCTTGGTCTTCGGAGGATCTCGATTCGTTGAATCTTTTATAAAAAACCATATTATTTTTGGATCTTGGACGTTGAGAAGAGGTGAGGATTCAGTTGGCAGAGAAAATTGCTTGTATCCTTAGCTGTGCGTCATGGAGAATTGTCTTGATGAAAAACAAAAGGCTGATTTAAATAACTATAAATTTTCTGGTACTTTTGGGAAGGTTTTCTTGGAAGATGGTAACATAATATGCGGCGTTCACCAAACACCCCCTAAGAACAAAATGGCGACGCCGTTAGTCCTAACGCAACCTTAAACCATTACTGAAATTCCTTCCTTTCCTACATTTTGTTGAAAGGACTTTTGGTTACTTCCTTCTCCAGCTGTTTTTCCAGATTAAGAGGGCTCCAGAATCATTTTTTAAACTAAATCTACACTCGTTCAAGAAGACATTATCGCCCCCGTCGGTGACAAATGGTTCCTTTGTGACTGTCACTCTGTTTTGACGGTGAGTGCAGTTATTTGCTGAAAAACCAGACTTACTTTTTAGGACACTGTTTATAATTCCGTAATTCAATAAAGTATGCCCAACTTAGTATTTTAGCCGATTTTGATCCCAAGATTTAATAGTTACTCGCTATTTTTACTGTTTACAATTGACAAACAAGTTTTTTCGCAAATTCTGCTACAATTCATTGGTTCCTATAAGAAAACTTGTTTTGACCTGCCCGTTCTCAACTTTTCTCCAGTAAACTGCTTTTGTAGACACCTTGCAAATTCTTTGGGTTGTGAAATTTGGGTTGCTAACTTGTTTTCGCAATTTCATCTTATGAATGACCTGCCTGGCGTAAATGCTTTATGGCCATTTGCTTAGTTTCATCCATATTTTGAGTTTTTACCAGTGCCCTAGGAAAAACCTTTTTTGCGCTTTTGAGAAAGATTTTCCCAATTAACTTTCTCCAAACAAAACTTTTGTTTGTTTATATATTTATTTTGCTTATTTCCTTAATTTGATCTCACTCTTTCGCTAATATGGCGTTTGTGAAAATAAGGCCCAAAACTTTGCCCGACCGTTCGAATACTTTTGGGAGGGGAGTGTATTGCCAAATGAGCACAGGTTTTTCCCCTAAATTTATTGTAAGATTCAAGATTTAAGACCAGGAACTTAATCAGAACCAGCCCAGAAAAACAATAACCTATCACCTTACTTTCTAAACTCTCATCCTTACTTGCTATATCTTCTGGTCAATCTGCAACAGATTTTGCAATCAAATACTGTAATAGTGGGGGAAAGGGGCTTTTCCTGTCCATTTTCTTCCAATTATCAATCAGATTTGGGAGTTATTGTGTAACTTCCTTAGTAACCCCTTCAGGTTAGAGATTTACCGATGATACGGCCTAACTCGCTCTCGATGATGTGGGAACATTGCCTCATGACTGACCTTCTCAAGTCTACGGCATGTTTTTCTGAGAGAGCTTTTTATGCCCTTCCTTTTTTTATTGGTATTTTATTAAAAAATTGACATAAGTTAGAAAATTGACATACAGGAAATTTGAACCAAGGCATAAAAGTATGTTATCTGTCGTAAGTAAACTAAATATTGCAGAAAACAAAATCATTTATAAAACTGACCTCACTAATCCTAACGACTTTGCTTCGTCTGATTTCATTTTTCTTGCTGTGTAGCATAATTCTCGTAACAAACTGAAACGAAATAAACATTTGAGTCACTTAAAAAATGACAATTTTATGAGAAAGAGAAAGCATTTGAAATAAAGGCATTCAATGATGTTTTACATCTCAGAAACATATAGAAGAAAAAATGTCAAAGATGATTTGAAAGCTTTCAACCTTTCATTGCCAACAACTCTTGGTAGTCGTTGCAGGGTACCAAGATCAGCAGCTAGACCGATGTCCACTTCCTTAGAAATAAAAACAAGGTGACAATCAATCTGGTGAAAATCAATACCAAATTTGTTTGAAAATCGGGTCTGAAAACTGAATCCTCTCATTAATGGATAAGCCCCGTCTTATACGTAACAAGTACATTATAAAAAGAAAATGCTAATAATTCTTCTGATGTACATTGACATCTGATGTACTGACGTTCTCTGCAGATATTTAAGATAAATCATTGGGGTAGAAAACAGAAGGGCAAAAATTGATGTAATAAACTCTGTACAAATATGCTTCAGGATGTACTATGTCCATCGGCCCAAACAACAGTAAATTGCAAGTGAATTGACAAAATGTGACAAAAAAGACAACAAAACACGATGAAGACAACACAACTCTACTGTGGGTTCGAAAGAACACTACACAACCTGGTACGTGCCCAGATCATAAGACACGATTTTATTAAACCAGCTCAAAACAACAAGTAGAAATATATTACGTGCCTTGAAGAACATATAACGACACTATCATAAGCTCTAGACAATTTAACATGATTCCTCCTTAAAGCTGTCAGACAATATGAAACAGTTCTATTACATGCTCCAAACAGCACTATACAACTCTCGCACGTGTTCAAATCAACATACTATGACTCTGTTGTGAGTTATAAAACACATCACACGCTTTTATTAAAGTAAGGCCAAATTAACGAACATTGCACATGATATTCGTATTTCAAATATGTTAGACAATTTTTATCAGTTTGACCATCACGTTTTATAAGAAAATCGATCACGACCTCGCCACACAGATGTTTGACGATCGTCAGACTTTTTGTATGACAAAATTGGGTTTGTGACAATGTTTCCAAGTTTGGCATGTTGTCGTCAGACAATTCATTTCAATGCTGTAGAAATAATATAGAGATACACAGTTTTATACACAGTGTATCACAGAAAAATCAACAACAACAAATTGTCAGACAGCTATGGCATATTTTCCGATCTTGCAACAACGTCATATGACAATGTTTCAAACCTCTTAAAACCTCCAATCAACATGAAATTACTCTGTTACGGCCTCAAATGCGGACAACACTATTTGAAATACAAGTACCTTGATTTGAAACCAGGCATCTGCTGAACATAATCGAATGTCGCAGGCAGCAATCATGTCAATGCCACCGCCGATGCAGGCAGAGTGAATTGCTGCTATCACGGGCTGAGGGCATTTCTCAATGACATTGAAAGATTCTTGCATTTCGGCGATTGCCTCTTTCATTTTCCAAGATTTTCTTGCGGCGTCCATTTTGCTATCACTCATTTCCATAAAGACTGATGCATAATCAAGCAAATCCAGGCCTAAAAAGAGCCGAAAAGGGCAATGGGTTACTGGGGGTAATGGGGGTTTGGCTCCAAAGAGGAGGCAGATCTAGCTATAATTTCAATAAATTGGGGTTTCCCATTTAGGCGTGCACTATTCAGGTTCCAAAAACAATTGATTACAAGACTGGGGAAAAATGTTCACCTTAAAGTTTCCAACTACAGCAGTGGCTTACCCAAGGGAGGGAATAGGGGGTCCGGACCCCCCCCCCCCATTTTTCTAAAATATGGTCCTCGAGATTTGTCCAAAAACAATGTCAAACTTTTTTCAAGTCATCTTATTAGATGAAAAGCCATTTCATTCAAACCAAGGCGAGGGTCTGGGACAAATTTTGCAAAAAGGGCGTTTTCCCGTATTTGTGATTGTTTGAAGGGTGTGGTCCAACGAATTTTCTGGGACCTGCGCCCCCAGACCACCCCTTTCTCCCTACTACAGCAGCTCTGGGTACGCTACTGCGGGCTAGGAGGTACTCGACCGACTGCCTCGTCTCGCGATGCAACGTTGGACCACATGGAGGCATGTTTTGACAGTTAGTAGCTGATCTTAGCTCAGTAGTGATGTGAAATTCTTAGTTATCTGTAGCAAATTTGCAACAAATGAAATTAACACAACAAGTGTGCAATGTAGTCTTTACGTTGCGAATACGATTTAAATTGTGTGATATTTCGGCAGAGAAAAGATTAGACAATGGAAGAAAAGAGACTACAAAATGTCATGGATGGAATCAATTAATTAATCAATCAATCAATCAATCAATCAATCAATCAATCAATCAATCAATCAATCAATCAATCAATCAATCAATCATCTCAACCCAGAGGATATGAGAAGAGTTTTTACTTCAAAAGACGTTCAGAATAACATTCGCACTATGCAATGGTTTACAAAATAGAGCAAAGTGGCAGCGCTGAGTGTGCCGCTAAAGGCGATCAAGTGTATACAGCTGAGTGTGCCCCTAAAAGGTATCGAGCACTTTATGACAGACACAATAGTTATTAATCCCTTCGTACTAAACAACCATGTAAGCTCCACAGTATTATCTGGTGCTATGGAATAAATTCTCTATCTTTAATCCATATCAATCTACTACAGTGTCAGGTTTTTGAATATGCTAAGTGTTATTGTAATTCAATATTGCCCTAGAAGAGATATAAAAACGAAATGCGTAATAGAGTCATCGGTTTCGCATTTGTAATCAACTAAGCGTACTTTTCTTTAGAATATTGTATTTTTAATAGTCGCCTTTGATTTGATTAGAAATGTTTGAAATGTGATTGTTTGACTTCCCCAACTGGGTGAAGAAAGCCCGTCCAGTTTCTAGTTTATCTAGTAATATCATCAAAAGTGATAAAGATTCCATTAAATCAATAGCTAATCAGTATTGAAATGGTGAACAATTTAAGCAACACATATTGAATGAAATGGAACTGAAAACTCTTCACCATTCATATCATCATGAGGGATATATTAAACACACTCCCAGCCAGAGTGGATTACATACCGCCTAGAATAGATTTGAGTATATTGTAGATAAATGTATTGGTATACAAGTCTCATACTTTCGCCAACCTTGAAAATTTTCAAAATGAGCTTTGAGTTTGAATTACCTTGTGACATTTTATCAGAGTATTCCGTCAGAAGTAACTTTGCTTAGCTGCACTCGCCAGATAACCAGACCCCAATTTCAAACAAATCTGATCATCAGGCTACAGCTGACTTTTGGCTGAAGTGGCAAGAATTTTTATAAAATAATTTAACCTTCTACTTATTTGTCAAAGTATCAATACCACTTGAATAAACGATTCGTCACTATTCCTATTTCAAGATTATTATTTTTAGTTTTTTTAATAGTTTAGCGACTGTGGTATCTTTAAAACCTCCATCTCACTTTGGTAAACTTTTAACATTTGCTTAACAACTCGAAATCCCACTTTCTTATTCGATGTCTGATTTCGATTAATGTTGTAGTGAACTCACAAACTTGCAAAACAAACAAACTCACAAAACAATAGCAGAGAATACCTTTTGTTTTCAACTTGCGTAGTAATTCTTTAGCCCTATTGTTTTCATCTAGCTCTTTTCTCTTCCTTTTGTATTTAATTCAATAACTCTCTGTTATCAACTTTTGAGTTACGTGGAGAGTTTCTCTTTCGTTTTTCACTAAATTAGTAAATACAACTAAACAACAACATTTACTAAAATGTCTAGAAGCGTTCTGCGACTAATAGGAGTCAGGCTGCACGAGCTAGAATTATTTATGATGAAAATATTTCTTTTTAGTTAGGAAATTCAAGGAGCTAGCAAAATGCGTAAATTATTTAGACATCGGTCATAAAGTATATTTTATATGGGGGTGGCCGATTTTCCAAAACTTTAGCAAAACAATCAAAAGCCCATCCTAGATTCTAATTTTATCTTTGTGGCCCAAAAGCAATATCGGGATATCTTTCATGACCCCATAAACAGACCTCATTAATCTGTGCGCTCGCAGGCACCGAAGCTCAGGACTTTCTGCAGGCACATTTCTGAAACGATTATTATTTATCTTTATTGTGTTACAGTCATGCTTTCTTCAAACAGCTTTCTTGGTATTGAAATTGAACAGTCAAATAAAATATAAAAGGTAGTAGTAGAAAGTCTTCATTACCAAAATGACAGAAGGTCCTTTCTCTAAAGGTGCCATTTGATTCTCAAAATCAACTTGTCTGTTTGTCTCTTTTCACCTTTAACTCTTGGTGGAAGAGATCACTCGCATTGTATCGCTCTTTTCTCAGAGTATTATGCTATGACTTGTAAAACCCATTCGTGCATAGTTGGCTGAAAATAGCACAATCCATTAAAAGCTTTTGAATCTGGTGACTATCGATTTCTGACTTATTTGAGCAAAATTTCATGGTACACCTCCAAACGATCCGTAAAAAAATTTTTCGACAACTTGTGACAACACAAACAAGCCTTTATTTCTTCAATTTTTGGAGTGAAAGCATTTTCATATTAAAATAATCAAATTTTACAAGCATGAGAAACTTCTTATTATAAATAGTGTCTTTATAAGATACTTTTTATAAGAAGACATTTCAACGAAAGTAATTGGGAATAGGATCTTTCATGTCTATTTTTTTTATCTTTGAAATGAGAAAAACCCAGTGTAATGTCGAAATTCTTGCAACTTTTCCCACGAAGCGAAAGCAAAATCCTAAAATTCAGAAACTTTGAGAGAAGATGTTGTAAACAAAACTGCTCCATTTAAAACATAGCGTTCAAGATATTTGAAAGCGTTTTGCTGAAGATTTCATTATTTGATAAATCGATAACAGCGATAGGGCTACTTGACAACCCAAAACGACCCTTTGATAAAAACTGGATCATTCCCTTTTTATGTACAAAATGTAACACTAGTAGCATTTGTTCAGTTTTCCATACAGTTACATGTAGTTCATGATGGTATGGCATCTGCTTTGGACAACCGTTAGTTGGTGTAACAGTACTGAGCGTAACAGGGAGGTTCTCGATTTATCAATGTCTGACTATAAATTGCAACCTATTTTACTTGCAGGCATATTTTTGCTCGGCTTTGCACTCGCAGGCACAAAATATTATTAATGAGCCCTGCCTATAAAGCAGGTCATTTTCAGAACCCATTTCCCTTCAGCATCATAAACAGATTTTTGAGGCAATTTCAGAGGGCATTTTTGCCGTCGCCATCGACAACAGAATGTAAGACAAGTAGAGGTCTCAAAAATGACATCATAAACATATATTTTTAGATTCTTTTTAATTTTGACTACATCAGCAAAAGGAACACCTTGAAAAACCTCTAAAGATGCAAAACCAGTTTAATACGTCAAAACACTGTTGTAATATGGCCAATAAAAGATTGAAATTTTGCTAACGGATTAATACTTATCTAGCTTTTTTCATAAAGTTATGAGATGAACAAAGATCAAATAAGAGAGGTGTGATTGGGAAAGAGCCTGTGCTCATCTGGCTATATCCCCGCCAATTCGTAACATATTTAATTTATTTTCCATAGTTAGAAGTGATTCATGGAGCTCTAAGGGATTCGTGGGGATCTAAGGGATTAATGGAAATTTTTCGTGATGTTATCACTTAAAAACTGTATAAGACTAGTCCTTGGGAATCGAAAGGTCATACTAACATGGATATCGGATAGGGGATTGAGTTACACGATGCCAGACCAATCCGATACACAACGCTCTGATTAGCGGAGGGAAAATTACTCCGCTCTGGAGGTTATACGAAAATCACTCCGGAGTCACTCCGTAGCGAAGCGTTGTAGTGTAATCGCACGAATCCGATATGCTCCACTTGGAAACAAAGGATTTTCTTATTGTTTTCTGCTTGAAGCAATTCGATCGATAGTGAACAATGGCACTTTCTGAGATTTTGTTGCTGTTGGATAATGCCAAATCGAAATCGTCAAAACATTTTCGCATTTGGATTTCATCTCTTCCCGAATTTTAATGAAGTGACCCTTGGTCGAAAAACATACTTTAACACATCAGATAGCAACACAATCCCGCTATCCGTCCTACGAACCCCATAATTTATCTCTCAGTTTCACGGTTGTTTTCGTCATTTTATGCATAGCTATTGAAAACGAATTCGCAACAGCACATAGATTCGAAAATATCATCAAAAAATTCAATCTGGTGGATTTTGTGCACCAGAAATGCAAAGGATTTGTGTACCAGAAATGCAAAGGAATACAGGCTTATGAGCGAACGGAGTGTCGTAGTGTAACTGCTACCCTAAATATCACTCCGGAGTAAACGTTACTCCACTCTGCTCCGCTCCGATCCGGTATAGTGTAACTCTAGCCTGAAATTTCATTCCAACTCTGGTGTTACAAGAGTGCCAGTGGTTAGCATCAGTGCGCAATATTTGTCAATTGCCAATTTGGAAAATTTTATTTTTTACAATTGAATTTTAATGGCCCAACAAAATTTGCATGACTTTTTTATAGCCCCAGAGAGGTTTGGCAGAATTGTGCATGGTACACTCAAATATTGTCAACCCCCATATATCAGATACTTTATGACCGCTCCCTATGATGAAATGCTTCTTTTTTGTTAGGAAATTCAAGGAGCTAGCAAAATCGTGGGTCTGCTCCCATTTCCTCCCTTAGCCAGCAAATGCCCGAAGAATGCTCGCGGGGGTATTTGTCAAGCAATTTTCTGGTGTCTTTAGTTGGTTCCTAGCTTGGCTAACTTGCTGAGAAGTTAAATGAATCTAAAACTCACCGGCCGTAAAGTGTTTCCCTAATCCAGATAAAACAACCGCGCGTATTTCTGTGTCTTTTCCAATTTGGTTGAAGCACGCCGTCATATCCCTAACAAAATAAGACGAAAATTTTTCACAAACAATTATTTCAGTTTTAAATTGATCGGTATATAACATGATACCCTTCTCCACACGATATGTAAATGTATTCGTTACCCAAACATTTTTCCCCAGCCCCCTCAAGTTGAAGTTCAAAGTGCAGTGAGAAGAGAACGGCCCCCTCTGGTTTCTTGATAGGGCGAATGTAATGTCTTCTTATCACTAGTCATGACGTCATCAATCGCACATACACCCTGTTGCAAATGTCAGGCGTTAGCGCGGCAAGACTGAACGGAAACTCAACAACATCACCTACTCAGCAACGCCTCTCGAGGGAACAGGCTGCCCCACCTCAAAAAAATGACTGCGCATCGCAAAGCGTTCATTAATAAGGGCAGGGGCGTAGTGGCTGGGGGCACTTTCCCCCTCTATCATTGACCATTCGACAATTTGTCGGAAATTTGGTATCTGTTCGGCAAAAGAATATTTGTAGCTCATAAAAAGCAAGAAAGTTCAAGGATGAAGTAATGATGAAATAATTGGCAAGTTTGCTGCCACACCATTGCTAAGGAGACTTCTTGTGCACTGAAAATCGTCCAGTTCGTTTCTTTAAATACTTAAAATGTTAGTTACCAGTCCTATCGCGAGTTTTAATATTCATCACAGATACTGTTTGCTGATGATTATGATTATCCAATGTTCGAATACGGATGCTGGCTGTTCTCTGAATGACTTATTGAAAGCAGCAAAAGTGAAGCTGCAAAAGTGAAGCAGCAAAAGTGAAGCTGCAAAAGTGAAGCAGTAAAAGTGAAGCAGCAAAAGTGAAGCAGCAAAAGTGAAGCTGCAAAAGTGAAGCTGCAAAAGATACATATTGTTTGTCATGTCTCACTGCATTATAAAACCTGCGCATGCGCTTGATGAGGTCATAATTCAAATTTAAACCCGTTGTCGGAAAATTTGGAAGCTGCCCTCTGATCTGGCTATTCTGTAGCAAAGCTGCCAACAATAGCATCAATCGAGTACATAAACGTGCTTTAAGGATTTTGTACCAGGATTTCGCATCCACTTTTGAAGAACTTATAACAAGACATGAAGTTAATCAATTGAGAGAAATACGCCATTTAAAACCTGAAAAATTTACCACCCTTGTCGACGTTACAAATAAACTCAATTTGACTGAGAATCCTCTTTTTCCCGAAGCAAATTACAAATAAAAATAGACTTTAAATTTCAATATGGAGTGTTGTAAGAAAGGACAATTTCCATGCGTGATGTAAGAATAAATTTGCATAATTAACGAGGAAGAAGTTGGGGGAGGAGTTCTAGTGTTGGTGATAGAGAGAGGTCAAAATGTTGAGGAAGATCAGATAATTGAGAATTGAGAACAACGGAGGGTTGTATTTTGCTTGTATTCGTTTGTACTTGCTTGTAAATCTCAGCAACTTTAGCACCGATTGGCGCCCTTTTAGTTGCTTCCCGGTGGGTAGGATGGTAGCCAGTCCGCCACTGGATTGAATCTCGAAAAATCCAATGTTCTCAGTCAGCGTTTTACAAGCATTGTCCTCGTAACTTTTTACAAACTTTTTCTTAAGCCCGCTCATAATACTCCGTTTTTTTCTTTAAAAAAAATTCTTCTCTCTGTTTTTGGCAGCAGTATGAATAATGGAGGGCTTAGAAAAAGTGACTTATTCCTAATGACTTAATTGAACTCCTAAAAATACATGCAATATTTTCTTAATAATTCCACAAAGCTACAACTTACATGACAATTGTAAATACAAAAGACTTCGCGAGAGCTGGTAAATGAAAAGAATTCCAAGCAATGGGAGATAGCAGAAAAGAGACAAATGATATTATAAAGAACAAGAAACGTTACGAATTTTTTAATATTTCTACAAAAGTTTTCAATATTCCATAGCATCAACCCTATGTTTTCATTCCCCGTTTTCTTGATTCCCCTGGGTCCCCGATTCCGTGGTTCCTCGCTTATGTATTCCAGGCTTCTGCTCTTTTGTCTGAATCTTTGTCCGTGTAACTTGCTCGAAATTCAGCCTAATTCGAAACGAAGGGAAATGGGAACTTCACTTGCTTTCCATTTTTATTTCTTCTTCTATTTTCGTGTGTCAGAGCATTCTTGTCTGACCTCTGACACGAAAAAAGAATCGCACTGACAACTACAGTGTAATCATAGTCATATGGATGACATCACGCTGTCATTTCGAAGGTCGGGTCATAGGTCTACTCTCTAGCCGATAGCAACCCCCGTCCACGCGCAACGAATAACAGGATTTCCTAGACAAGGAAGGAGTTCCGTGTTTGTCTGATGCGAGTGGCCTTCGAAAACGATTGTGTAGCATTAACATTTGAGGAAAACGAGGGGAAGAACAGTTTATTACAAGATCAAGTAGAACAGAAAGTTTACAGGCAACAGGAAAGTTTAGAGCTGGCATTTGCAGGAATCCTGAAAAGAACTCAAATACAACCCATCCGAAATGTCTACGGAAACTGCCGTCTTGACAGATTTTGCAGGAACAAGAAGCACAGAAGTCCATGGCTGTGGGGCGACAGCATGTTGTGACCCACGAACTCCATGTCACAGATTCATATTCTTAGGGTTTCTTTGCTTTCTTAGTTTCGGCGTTTATTTCTGCTACGATAATCCTGCAGCTTTGCAGGAAACCATCCTCGCAGACATGAGCATCAACAAAGAAAGTTTCATGAACCTCTACGCATGGTACTCTTGGCCAAGTGTTATAATGGCGATGTCTGGTGGTTTTCTCATAGACAGGGTCTTTGGCGTACGTCTGTCTGCAATCATATTTGCTTCTTTTATAACTTTAGGCCAGGTTATCTTTGGACTTGGCGCATATTTACAGAAATTTTGGGTGATGGAGGCGGGAAGATGTGTCTTTGGCCTTGGCGGAGAAACCTTGGCAGTTGCCCAGAACACGTATGCAGCCGCCTGGTTCAAGGACAAAGAGCTGAACATGGTATTTGGACTGCAGCTGAGCATGGCCAGGATTGGCAGCACCGTGAATATGAATATCATGCAGCCTGTGTATCAAAGATTTGCTCGCGTATACAAGGAACCTTATGGAGATGGCTACAAAACACTGGGCTATGCCTTGTTTTTTGGGGTTATCTTTTGTCTGTTTTCACTGTCGATTTCACTCACCCTTGCATTTCTCGATAAAAGAGCAAACAGAATACTGCGTAGAGACGATGCAAAAACAGGAGAAATAATTAGACTCAAGGACATCAAAGAATTCCCATTTTCATGCTGGCTCATTTTCATCATATGTGTCATGTACTATGTTTCTGTCTTTTCTTTCATTGATCTTGGTTTGGTATTTTTCATGTCTAAGTATGGGTTCACACATAGCCAAGCGAGTGTGTGTAACAGTCTTGTTTACTTGATTTCTGCAGCGGCCTCGCCATTCTTTGGCTTTATAGTGGACAGAACAGGGCGGAGTCTTTATTGGTTGATGTTTTCAATCATGATGACTCTCTTAAGCCATGCATTGCTTGCACTGACATTCATAACACCATTTGTTGCTATGTCCATAATGGGAGTCTTCTACTCGCTTCTTGCCTGCTCTCTGTGGCCTCTCATTCCCAATGAAGTGCCAGCTCATCAGACTGGCACAGCATACGGATTGATGCAGTCTCTGCAAAACCTTGGTCTTGGGGTCTGTGCCATAGCAGCAGGCAAGATTGTTGATAACAGTGGCTACCTCATGCTTGAGGTGTTCTTCTGCATATGTCTTTGTGTTGCAATGCTTGCTGCAGTTGCTCTATACTTTTGGGATTCAGCCAAGGGCAGGGGGTTGAATTTGTCAGCAAAAGAAAAGAAAAAGGCAAAGGCAAAGGAGATTGCTGAGAAACAAAAGGCAGTGAACGATTCAGCTTCATATGAGCAAAAGCCACTTATTACAAACTGAATGAAACAATGCTCTTAATCTTAAAATCGATCAGTAGTTAGTGCTGCAAAATTATATCAGTTCATGGCTTTTGTTTTTAACTTCAAATGAATATTCACAGGTTCCAAGAAATGCCACATTGGTCACAACATTTGTATTTACAAACTTATAAAGCTGCTTAAATTTAAATATTTTCAAGCAGGGTTTTATCAAGAGAATGAACAGATATAAAACTGGCTAACCTACACCTCTATAAATAGACTACCTATCACAATAAGCCCCCTTTTGTTGCTAAACATCCATGCAATCATTTCCTTGCATACAGCTCAATGCCAATTAAAATTGAATAGAATTAGAATTTGTTCTTAGAACACTGGGATATATGTCTATTGATTCTCTTTAATTTCCCCAAAATGGCCAACAACTATTGGAAAACAAACAACACAGACATTTAATTTTGCCACATATAACTAAGTCATTTAAGAACTGCAAGAGCCTCGTGCTTTGATTCTCATTGCAATGTGCCTTGAGAATAGATCCATATATATTTTTTACACCAAGTTGACTAAAACAAGCTCAACTGGATTGAGTAAGTATTAAGGTTTTTTATCAATAATAAAATTAACAAATATCAGATGCAATAACTAATGCCCTTATGTCTTTTCTAAGGCAATACAGACATGATTACATTTAAGATACATTGATTTAATGTTTACTTTATAACAATGGCTCATACTCACTTGAAAAACTGTTTGTTCATTGCATTTAATTTCTTTGGCCTGTTAAGCTGCACATTCAAAACATGGTCTGCTGGTTGTGTCAACTTGAGAGTTTCAAACTGGGCAGCAGTCATTGTGCTTTGCAGTTTAACAAGATGTCTTTTAAGCACAGGAACAGCAACAACAGATAGAATCTTATCTAGGGAGAATGCAAAGTCGTAGAAAAACTGGCGCTTGAGATAGGCAAGACGGCAGAGCTCTAATACAACTGTTTATGGGGATTCCCCAAAGAAAGACATCTACAGCTTAATTCATGCTTTTTTATTGATTGTCATCAACAAACTCACAAAATGCTAGCAACCACGTAGCTGTAGATGTTGGCCAGGATGGACAAACTCGAGCAAGAACAATACTTGAGGGGGACAGGCTTTAAAACAAGAAAACAGATATATTACAAACGATATATTTGGACTAAATTAAGCTCACAGATTTATAATTATGCAAAATTTTTAAAATATCATTTGGAAAAACTGTAGCAAGAGGGGGCAAGTCATTGTCAAAATTTACATTTGGGGGGACACCCCCCATGCCCCCTGCAGCTACATGGCTGATTGCTAGGGCCAATCCCCTTTTAAAGTTCCTGGAGAAACACAAGGGTTTTCTAAAAAGCAAACAACCTCCTCATGGAAAACTTTAGAATGCATGAGATAATTTTCTGTTTTACCTTTCTGTCATACAATACTTGAATGCAAGGAGGTCAACTGCCATTTTGGTGTGAAGTACAAGTCTGTTCTAAGTTGCAACTCAGAGTTAAACCTCTAGTGCAATCATCAGGCGATTTCTGGGTACTTATATAAATTATCAGTATAAGGAAAACCAAGTATAAGATTTAAATCTGAAAGGCTCTTTTGTTATTCAGAGAAAAGTTTAAACAGTGATAACAGCACAACTCACAAGCATCGGCTGGGTGGATAAAACCAGAAATTAATGCAGATGGCAAAAACCTTTGTCTAACTAAAATGGTATTAAAAATCTCAACACATCATGTAAATCTGTAGAAATTTTATTCTTTGAATGCTAAAAAAGTGTCTATATGACAAAAGTTTTTTTTATAGCAAAAGTCACTATACCCATGCTGATGTTAGTGTCATGATCTCAGGCGGGGAGGGTTGCAGAAGTCATTGGCTCTTCCTGTTCTATATTGTGACAAAAAATGTGGAGGATGCAAAATTTCTACAAAACTAGGTCATTACCTATACACTATTCTTTCAAACACATTTTAACAATACACACACACATATACAAAAAGTTGTCAGATAACAGGCAGTGCACAACAGTCTAACAATAAGGGGGATGAATAGCAGGTAAAGGAAGCAAGGATGAAGAATCTGAGGTTCGGTAAACTATATCTACAGGCTAAAGTAAATATGATTGTGTATAAGTTGTTATTCTAGTTTGCTGACAACCCATTCATTATGTAGTACATAATGCCTCATATTGTGCTGGTTTACAAGATTGTATCCAGGTAGAACTTCCATCATATTTACCCAGGCCATTCAAGGAATAAATTTGCAGGCGTGTAGTCAATCCCACTCCTTGGCAAATTCAAGGGTCCAATATGGGTTATTATTTTTATAATTCTAGCATAATGGAGAATTTTTGAACAATGATTGGCAGAACAAAATTTGAAATTTTTACTCATCTTCAAATCATTTACTCTGCACAAGGGCATGCATTTTACTTTTCAAAGCTATTTTGCAATTTGAATATAAAAATCTTATTAGAAAGCATGAGAGCAACAGAAAAATGGAGGTTTTCAAAACCTATCAAAAGTTGATATCCACACAATATAGAGGTCTATAATTGATGATTTATTGGTGGCATTGATGAAGCAATGTTGGTAACATTATCCACAGTATACGCTCAAGTATACAGTCAAGCCCTAGTATACGGTCAAGCCTCAGTATATAGTCAAGCCCCAGTACAGGGATTGTCCATCAAGATTATGATACAGAGAAAAAACATGCAAACGTTATCATCGTGATAATAGAAAGAAGTCATTTCAAGACACAGCGGCCTTCTTGGCCAGTAGACATTCAGCCATACATGTTTAGCAAGCAGTCATGTTGTAAAAGCCATACATGAAGGACTTTTGTGTAGCTCACCTCTAACAATAAGAAACACAAAGCCAGCTTTATTCCTTCAACTTACATCAAAACAAAATGATTCAACGAGTTCCATCGACTGCCATTCAAATCAAACCTGTCTCAATCTTCGTAAAGAAATTGAACACGTGTAAACTAAAAGTTTGCGATGTTTATGACGAGCATCGATTCAGGATTTTTATATACTAGCAGTTAAAAGAAAGAAGGTCTAATTGATATTGATGATAGCAGTAAATGAATCTTTTTCTTAGGCTTATACTTTTTTATAAGACAATTACATTCAAATTCAAAAATCTTACTTTTACCTACAACTGCTAAGAGCTGCAATAGACCAGAGGGAACCAAATAACGAGGGACATACATTTCCCAACCAAGCATCTTGCATGTATGCAAAAAGGGAAAACATTTTCGCCTTTTAAAAGAAACATCAAAATATTATGTCATTTGAGTTTCAGAAAAATTTCCAAAAAACCTATGGTTATAACTTTAAGCTTGGTTTTTGCGCAATATTCTCGATAATATTTTGATGTTTTTATGAAATAAAATTATAAAACGAAACAAATAAAATAAAAAAGGGTAACAACAGTCGTTATGGCGGATTTATCGTCTGTGTGGCCACTTATTATCACATCAACTGTTTAATAAGCAGCCCAAATAAAACAAGCTTTAGCTGTGAAAATAATTGAGAAAATGAGGTACATTTGCCAAATACCTCGAGATGTTCCGGCTAGTATTTTCCTGGCAGATTTTGACAATATGGTCGCCATTACTGCTGCCTCAATTTCGCATGTGGTTGTTGATGTTGAGGTAGATTGAACGAACTTTGAGCGATGGGGATTGTACAAGGTGGCAACGCTCCTTTTTTCGTCGCGCAAACAGACTTTAAGAAACGAGTACTGGACAGTCAGATAAAATAAGAAACTTCAGTACTCGAAGCAAAAAAATTAAGAAACTATTAAATCGTGATAGAACTGAGAACAACAAAATTTTGTAAAATCCAAGAACGTGACTGCCTTGTTGGCCTAGCGTTTAACACAAAAGAGATAAAAATATACTCCCCACATCCAAATACAGCATCAAAACGACAGCGAATCTCTTGACGTGATAAAAAGGTATCGAACATTTCATAACATAGCATAATTTCATAACAGTAGAAACTCTTGATGATATTTCAAAGTCTTCATAAGATTCTATCCCGTCTTAAAATTTGGCACACCATAAGGCGGTGATTGCCTTTCGTTTTTCGGTTCGAAATGTCGCGAAACTATGCAGCCTTCAGCGCGACCTTCTACCCAGTCCTTTCGATCTGTGCGGGAAAATGTTGGGTGAAATGTTGAATGAAATATTGGATAGTTTGACCACCAGCGTTGGATTACATTCCAACATAAAATAAAGATGTTGGGCGAAAAAGTTGGGTGGAATGTTGGATCGTTTGACCAGGGCTTAACGCTTCTCTCCAGCCTCTGTTTTCATCTTTACAAGCATTTTCCTGTCGTCGTCTTTTATTTACTTTCTCAGAATTTCCACCAACGAAGGAAGTTTTTCTTCCATTGCTGTTCTTCCAGTTCTAGCAGTTCTTGAAGAAGCGCAGACTGCAGATAGCATAAATTAAATTGTTGCTTTTGATGTCATTGCTTAGTTGTTTCTGTTGATTTTTAGTTTCTGCTGTTGTTTCTTTCCACAGCTGTAGACCAACAAATTTCGTGGCCAAATATACCTCCACCCCACCCCTGGCCTTTTTGTGGATTAGATTGATCTCCGAACTATCCGGAAACTTTCGTGACCGGAGTGTATATATGTCTAGTTCTTGTTCGGTACAGACAATATATGACTTGGTTGATTCCTAGTTAAATACACTTGCCAAAAAATTAATGGTCAGTCATATGAAAATAATGCTGAACATATTTGCAGTTTTTAGGCTATTCAGCTCCTAACAGCTCGTCATGGACTAACGAGGGTCACGCTATTACTGGAACATTATTACGGTGGGCGAATGTTAATAATTTTTTCGCGAAAAGGTGAAATACTTCAGAAAAAGATGATGACAGAGGCCTGCCAAGACAGCCTTGCTTTTTTTCGAAAAAGTTCCACTAAGGTTCTATCTACAAGATAATGGATGAACAAACAAAACGCTACAATAATGTAGAGCAAATAATTTATCTGGGAGCAATGTCGCGACAAACACACGCTTTTTATTTTATGAGAAACTTGGATCAGCTTTAAGTACTAAAAGTTTCATAATTTGGCATACAAATTTTGGCGTTTTAATCTAAAGTTTCTTAGTTGTTATCTTTTTGTACGGGACATAAAATTGTCTTTCTGTTTTGAAGTTGAGCATTTTCGGGCGAATTCAAACGCAGGTCATCACGAGAAAAACCCATGCATATCAAAACCCAAGGTAATATAACGGAAAAAGAAAAATCAGCAAAGTAAAGTTTCTTTACAGTAAATTTTTCTTGAGCCTTGTAGTAAAGTTTCGTAAAATTTTGGGCATCCTAGAAACTAGTTTATTATAAACCAATGTCTAATAAATAAAAAACGTATATGGTGCTTAAAATTACTTAAGCTTCTAACCAAATTGAATTCTAACCATATAATCACTTCAACCAAATTGAATTCTAACCATATAATCACTTCAACCAAATTGAATTTTTTCAATTTGATGTGAAAGACGCTTCTTAATTCACAAAATGGATCGAGTTGATCTACAGTAGGGGAGGTGGTGTGGCAGACTGCAACAGAACCAATCACATAGCCGATAATGATCTCGTGACATGTCAATCAATTGTATATAAACAGATACATTGTACATAAGGAGGAGGATGCCAACATAAATTAATAGAAAGAGGTTATTCGAACGCTCAATCATTACGACCTAACACAAGACGAAGGTAGCAGAAACCCCCACAAAATTGACACTTTTAAAAAAAATTTATCATGTATCAAGTAATGATAGCGGGGCATGCAGCAAAAAAAATCTTTGCGTGATCACTTCTTACAAATGGTTTACTCTGCGAACGTCTAGCATTATACTTAAAAATTGCCAGAGCTTGAGAGGGGCAATTAAATCTCAACAGTCCGATTTCGCAAAAGGAAAAAATTAGATATAAATAACGAGTTGAACGATTTTACGTACTTTTGATAGTTATCGCGTTGATTGACTTGATCGCTTTTTCTTAGCTTAACGTTTGCCCCCGTTTTAAAACTTGTTAAACCAGAATATTGAGAGAGAAGTAGAAGACAGGAGAAAGGCAGAAATGAGGTGTCGGTTGAAGAAAACGCAAATTCACTAGAATAGAAATAGATAAAAATGGTAGAAATAAAATGGCGAGACTGAAAAATTAGTCTACAGAAAAGAGAAAGCCCTTTAAATGGTTTGAATTACTGCCAACCCTACAGAGATTATGCATAATAAAAAATATAAGCATTTTCAATATGCAGCTAGGCAACATGTTAAAACACTCCGAAACTTGCTTTTTTCTTCGTATAGTGATTTATAAAATCTTAATAGCATTTAATTGTTGAGCGGCTAAAACAAGCCCTAAAAAAGATAAATTTAACAGCCATATTCAGGAGCTAGTAAAATGGAAATATTTGACAAAGGATCAATTGATCTAATATTGTTTTTGGCTGTAGCCCCCAACAACCCTCCCCCCTTGTAAAAATATCCTTGCATTGAGTCTGTCTTACTCCCAAAAACTTTGTCCTGGTAGGAAGTTGTCATATTAAGAAGAAGAGGGGCAGGTCATAAGTGTTATGTGACAATCGTGATTGTGGCAAATGATCAAGAAGTAATCATGAAGTTGGCTTACAATAAAAGTAGGCCCAGATACTGCGACTTGAGAATGGAGAATAAAGGGAGGCAAATGAGGAACATCAGAAGAATACCAGTTAGAGAAACGGAGAGAAAATATGTGAAGACAATGCCACGACATCTCAAACATTTAACATTTAGTTGAAACTTAATAAAGCATCTAACTGCTTCAATCGATTATTTAAACAATTACCTAATAATTAAGGAGGACAGTCACAACAAGAAAGGTTTAACACAGCTCGGGCGAAATCCTTCTTTAGCCGAGCAACTTGATAGGTTACAGAGGAAAATCTGAGGAAATTACAATTGTCCTGACAGAAGCCCTGTCTTCAAGAGCATAGAGAGGGCATCATACGAAATCACACAATGATAAAAATTGTCTAGTGTCATCAAAGACACAATTATATCTTTATCTTATATCTTCTAGTTTCTGCTCTTTTGTTTTTCCTACTCAATAAATACATGCGACATTAACGTTCAAATCTTGTTGACTGAGTTTTTCATGTTCCAAATCAGAAGGAATCGTCGGCAGCATCGAATATAAGGAAGAAGGCAAGGATCGTGCAGAATATAAACAAATTTCCAATCATGACAAGTGCCATTGCACCCCACTTTATCTGCAAAAGAGACATTGGATCAAATGGAAACTGTAGGAATTCTGTATCATCTACCCATGAATAAGCTGGGTACTTCTTGATTAAGCTATATAAAAAATTGCATTAACTACTTAGTTTAAGGCTTCACACCCATGATGCTGACATTACTACAAATGTAGTTATTTTTAGTTAAATATAACTGACACCTTAATTTATCAGAATCTCAATTCACCTTGCTGAGTACATAAATTCATTTCCTTTGATTAATTTGATAAGATATCAACAAATATCTGATCAGTGTCTTTTGAAAATCAAAACTATATGCAAAGTGTTTGGAATGTTTGTTGGTATTAAAAACCTTGGAAACATTACAGCTTGGAGGAAACATTACAAGCAGGAAAGGGCACCAAAAACTTTGAAAATAGAGCAGTTTCCAAAGGAAGGGTTCATTCCTTCAAACTTTACAGGGTTGTGCTTTGTAGTGCACCTTAGCTCCAAGATTTCTGAAATGCTTCCTGAAATGGTATATGAAATGGTATATGAAATGGTATATGAAATGGTATATGAAATGGTATATGAAATGGTATATGAAATGGTATATGAAATGGTATATGCAGTGGTATCAGTGTTTCAGGGTCATCCAATTTTATGTCTTCCACATGGTGGTATCCAGTGCATGGCGATCTTGGGATTGCGGTCTTCATTCATTCGGAAGGCATGTCCCACTATCCTTACTCTTTGTTTTGAAACAGTTGATAATAGTCGTTTCATCTATGATCTCCTCCGGACTTCTTCTCTGGTAATGCGATCAAGATAAGAGATGTTCGGAATACTTTGAAGACATCGCTGTTGGGATACGTTGAGTTGGTTGCTAATTTTTGATGTGTGTCTCCAAGTTTCTGCCGCATAGAGATGCAGTGGTATATGCAATGTTATATGCAATGGGATATGATTGGTGCATGTTTGGTGTATGAAGAAATAACTAACCTAAACATAAAAATTTGTCTTATATTGCATTTGATGGTTTTATCATATTTATATATATGTGTATAAAAATCACCCATCAGATAAACGTGTGACTAGGTGGCTGTAAAAATAATTAGAAGAATTTGACCAACTTACGATTTGCGCTCTTGCCAGAACTACAGGAAGGCCTATGCAAAGGAAGCAGAACAAGCAATGAGATAATCAGCATTTAAAAATTTTGTTCACGATGTTACCTTGAAAACCAAACTTTGTGAAAGATAGGATACGAAAATGAAAAACCACAAAGGAGCCAGGAACATTGCATAATTTATATGATGCATACAAGCTGGGATAAAAAAAACCAGGAATTCGTGACTTACCAAATGCTGAAACAACAATTCCAGCAGTAAAGAATAAAGCTATTTCAGCAACCAAGCTGCAAAAACAGAAAGTATTTAAGAGCAACACATAAAAAATATGTCAAGAAGGCTTTAAAGGAAAAAACATGGCTGAAATTTACATTGGGGGAAATTGGGGGAATTTGGGGGAAATTTACAATATATGAGTCAGGCTCAAAAGAAAAAATCTACAAAAAAAGCATGATCAAAAATCTGTTTGTTAACAGATAAAGAAGAAAAAGTGATATGCATTAATTTATTCAGGGTATTTACATTTTAAGTGTGGTTAAGATATCCAACACATTCTTCAACAACAGAGTTATAAATATCATCGTAGTAGCAGACAGGTAACCAATTTAGTAAAACCATCTAAGTTATATAACTTATAATTATGTAAAAAAATCCATTTGCCTAAAGATTAAATATCAAACAAAACCGGCAAAAAGCATGCAGACAAATCAAATCTGAAAGACTGCTTATGCTTAAAAAGTTGTAGACTCATACTTAGCATTGCCAGAAAATGAAGAGAAATCACTCCCAAGTCTTCTTGTTATCAAAGCAGGTATGGGTGCCAAAATATAGAAAAATACTGTGAAGAAATTGTAAAAAATGTTATTTTGCAATTTGCATTATGTTGATTTAACAAATGCAAACAAGAAGCAAGTTTAAAGTGGATAAGAAGAAAAGACCACAACCATTCAGGGTATGAAAAGCCCTTTACTAGACAGTTAGAGAGTAAGCTTTGCATTTCAAGAAAAACAGTTTTTGTGCCTTGAAATAAAAATCTGCATAATTCTGAGCTTTTCACTTCATGCTGACTTTTTCCTTTGCACAATCATTTCCAACCTCCTTTGCGCTTGCTAAAGACTGCCCAGTAAAAAAACATTCCCTTGAAAATCAAAACAGAGAGGCAAAGGGAGCTGCCGGTGGATAGCTTTCTAGCCAAGACAAAAAATCAGGAATGAAACCTAATTATTCATTTTTTGTAACATTATTTCAGTGGCAATAAAACTATCTTAGTTTCAAATATGTTGTTACAAACTGAACAAATAAATCACACATTTTGAAACCTCAAAGATTATGAACTGTAGTTAAACCCATACAGCTAGGCCATCTTCAATTCTATTATATAATAAGGCATCCTGCTTTGACTCTGCTTTCATATTGCTCCACCAGGAAAGTAGGTCTATTCGATAATGCTTTTGGAAATGGATATGGGTAGAATGGCTTGTTCCAGCCTTGCATACAACCCACCATCGTACCCCTGTTACAGGTACATCCCTTTCATTAATAACATATCATCTTTCAGGAGGAGGTTTGCCCATGGGCTGGTGCTGTTTTTAAAGGGACCCCCTTCTAAATGAACACTAGAATGCCAATGCAACAGGCCTTTTCCTTTGACACAAGCAATCACTTGCAATTTGCGTCAACACTGGCGCAAACCCAACTATATAGCCTTTGATAGCTCGCACAAAACAGCGAATTGTGAGGGAAAAATGTCATGTTCTGACGTTTTAAAGTTTTGTACCACCAAAAGATTGTTTGCATATTTCAAGCAGAGGTACACAAATGAGGAGATTGAGGATCTCGACGCATTGGTTAAGCTTAGAGGTAAGCTGAGGTCGGCCAGGTTCTCTTTATCCTTTCTCAGTTTATGTTTCACTAATCGGGTTGCACCTAAATTCATCACCGCTCGTATTTCTAAGTCTGGTGTTAGACACAGCCCAACCATTGAGCGCGCTTTTCTACAAGATGAAATTCAGAAAACTAAAACTAATATTCTGAATCTAAAACGTTTATACACACGCCAATGGTCTAAAACGCGTCCGTTTCTCACATTCTTTGATAATTTTCGACTTTGCCGCTACTTTTCTGAAATTGACCAGCGGAAGCTAAAACAGACTACAGAAAAACATGATAGGAACATTGGCATGCTAGTTAGGAAACGTTTTGGCGGCTTGATGAGCGATTCAAAAAAACATATTTTTAATTTGTCGGACTATTCTCTCTCTGAAACCGAAACATTTGTCTTAGGTAATGGTCTTGAATTTTGTATCCCACCACAACGAATAAACAGAGAGGAACTTTTTGCTGAATTCGAAATTTTACACGCTCAACTTGCCAGACACGATATTTCTGATGCTTTGGAATTTAACAAATTACGAGCAAGACTAAGCGATTTGGCGTACGCTTACAGCGGCTCTCCCATCGACCACTCAGATTTTCTTTTGCACAGAGAACATTTTCAAGCATTAAAATCTCTACGGTCTAATAATGACATCTTTATTACAAAGCCTGATAAAGGGTCAGGAGTGGTTATTTTGAACAAAAAGGACTACATCCAAAAAATGGAGAGTATTCTCCTCGACAAAGACAAGTTCGAAAAATTGGGTGACGTCGAAACACAGGATAAAACGGCCAAGCTAGAGCGGAAACTTCAAAAACGCCTTTTGGAGCTGGTTAACTCAAAAGTGTTGACCAACGAAGTTTATGATAGGATAAGACCCACAGGTTCACAACGTCCACAAATGTATGGCCTCCCTAAAATACAAAAGCCGAATGTCCCACTTAGACCCATTTTGTCTATGATTGGTTCAGCACAACACGAACTGGCTAAGTGGCTTTCTGAAGTTTTGGACCCTGTTCTGCAAAAATATTCAAAACATTGTATCAAGGACTCTTTTACGTTCGCTGAGTTCATGCAAAACTTGAACATCGAAAACGAAACATCTTTCATGTGTTCTTTTGACATTAGCAGTCTTTTCACTAATGTCCCTTTAAATGAGACCATCAAAATATGTGCCGACGCTTTGTACCGGAGCGAGCTTAATAGCCCACCATTCCCAGAGGAAGTATTCATTGAACTGATGGAAACTGCAACACGTTCAGTTGAATTCAGCTTTAACAATGAAATGTACCAACAAAAGGATGGTGTCGCTATGGGTAGCCCTCTGGGACCTGCATTGGCCAATATCTTTGTTGGCTTTCATGAAGAGCGTTTGTTTGACTGCGACCAAAAGCCAGGTGTCTATTTTCGGTATGTGGATGACACATATACTATTTTCAAAACAGAGGCTGAGTGTGATATTTTCCTAAAACGCCTTAATGGTCTTCACACAGCCCTACAGTTTACATTTGAAAAGGAAGAAAATAACTCCTTGCCATTTCTTGATGTTTTGGTTGAAAAATCTGACACTGGATTTCTCACCAGTGTATACCGTAAACCCACATTTTCGGGGTTATACACTCGATGGAGTTCGTTTTGCCCAAAACAAAGAAAAATCAGCCTCATCAAAACGCTCACACATAGGGCACTGATGATTTGTTCCAAGTCTAAACTCGACTCGGAACTTGAAAAACTAACTAAGATTTTTCTGGAGAACGGCTATCCAGAACATGTTATTTCAGTGTACATTAAGGAGAAGATAGGAAATTTCTCGGCTGACGTAAAATTTGGTCCTCAAAAGTGCCCGGTCTATCTAAAACTACCCTGGATCGGTAACAGCTCCCTACGTTTTGAAAGCCAAATAAAACAGGCCATAACAAATTGTTTCTTCGCGGTTAACCCACGTGTTGTTTACAGTACAAAAAAGGCCCTTCCGTCCATTCAAAAGGACTGCGTTCCTGCCACAAAAAAAGTTCTGTTGTGTATGAATTCACGTGCCAGTGTGATTCTGGCTACGTAGGACGCACCACCCAAAGATTGGAGGATAGGATAAAACAACACGTTCCATCTAATATTAGAAACAAAACACATCCCCAAAGAGAACAGCCACCTCGGTCTTGCAAATCCAAAATTACTAATAAGACCTGCGATTCTGCTATCGGGCAGCATTTGCTAGAAAACCCAGATTGTGCAAAAAACTATAATGGTGACATGTTTCGGATTATTGGTAAAGCCCGATCGTCGTTCCACCTAGCAGTTTTAGAATCTATCTACATAAGCACGAAAAAACCGCTACGACAAAAAACCTTAGGACTCCGCTACTGTTCAACCTTTACAGTCATGTGCTCGTGTTTCTGATTGGCCTATTTCGATCCACAACTGGGTATATATATATTTCTTAGCGTAGAGATTTCGATCTATGTTCTGACGTTTTAAACTCTGAAGAGTGTCAGACGAAAAGCTTTAGTTTACTAAATGTTTGCTTTTTTCAAAGCTATTTACAAGTTTTGTACCACCAAAAGATTGTTTGAAAAATGTCTTATCAATTAACACACTTCTAGTCCTCTTTTGAGATCCAAGTAAGCAGCTAAGACAATACAAAGCTGGTATATCAAAACACAGGAAATATAAGTAAGCTGAATTAACAGAAACATCTCAACAGAAACATGCGTTTGAAAACCAATTCTGCCGCATAAGGAATACTATAGGCACTCAGTATTTACACTTCATAAGCCCTGGAAACACTGTCTAGGCAGTTGAAGTGCATCTGGTCTAAGCAGTGGAATATGAAGGATAATTTATCTTTTTTGGTAGAAATACATTTAAAGTAGTATAATGAGCTTTAATTTGTCATGTGATTCTAATTACCCCATGTCCTTATATGGATATCTTTTTAAAAATGGGCAAAGCCAACTCATCCTTTCACATTGGAAATTCATTTTAGTGTTCAATTGACTTTCTAAACTTTAAGAAGAAACTGTCCTGGTACTCAAACTATAAAAAGGGACTTTTTGTTGTTTTTTCAACCTTCATTGATAGTATTAGTTGGTCTTAAAGAGTATTACCATGCTAATACAGATAAGATAAACATAGAATCTTACTGAGGAAATCAAGAGCTAGAGCTTCAAGTATGAATGATAGGTAGGAACAGCACAAACGACGAAAAGCAATCCACTACATACAAATGAATGCAATATAATAAACCAAAATTTAGCAATAAATTATTGTTTTGGTAGGCCTTAACATACTTAATTGCCTTTCTTGACTTGCAGGGTAAATAACTTGTCTTTTTAAGTGAGCAACTGAAATAGCTTGCGATTTTTCTACAGCATACACTGGACGGATCATTGTAGAATGAAACTCATCTGCGACATAATCAACTTAAGATGCTAGTTAATCAAAAATCTTTAATATAAAATCAATGAAGAATCATAACCAAGTGTAATAATATATCGTATAATAAAACAACTAAAGAATACTCACAGACAAACAGCACCCACCAGGGTCTAAAAGAGATTTAAAGGAGATAAAATATTAATTAATCATGGAAAAAAACGTTCAATTTACAGAAATCAATTATGCAACAGTGGTTAGCAGAAAAAACGTCGGCTGTCAACAACAGAGTATGCTGTTTGGTATTAGTGCCTGATTATAGGAGTTTTCATCAGTATGAGATGAATAATTTATATTGTCTTTCTACATTATATATTGTATTTTTGCATTTTATTCTTACATTCTGTTCTGTTTCAACATCAAATTTTAGCAACCAGATGTTTTTAGCATAATCTATTATTTCTTTTTTTTGCATCACATTTGTTTTACTTCCTCACATTTTATTCTTGCTATTTTAAAGCTATGTTATCTTAGTTCCTAAAACAAGTCACATGGTTTAACATTCTGAAGTATAGTTAAAAAAAGGGAACTTGACTTTACAGCTCCCAGAGATTTTTCCAAATTTTCCAAACTTTTCTGTAGAATTACCTTGATAATTTTGTAGATTGTTGTTAAGCTTGAATTTTCATGAATTAAATATAATTTAACTATGAATTTCCATACTTTTTAATGGAATTAGGCTTCTGAAATTGCTTCCTGTGATGGAAATGGTTATCAGCCTTGGTTTTGCAATAAATGGATTGCTAACTTTTATCTACCAGGGATGTACCTTTAACATCTATCGCTAAATGTTATTCTGCCCAATCCTTATTGATATTGGTCAGCCCTTATTTTATTGGGTTAGCGGCCAACAGGGTAAAGGCCAAAAGGGCTGAAATTCCAGTTTATAGGAAAACTCCCATATTATCATGCCTTCTTACAGGTTGCTTTTGCCTATTGATTTGATGTACTGATTAAAGAATGGTGAGAAGAAACAGTTTTGATCAGCAGCCAATAACAGGGCTCATATTCAAAATGATGTGGGTGAATTTTATTGCCTCATGAAAAAATAGGAGATTTGGAGCTCTATTAAATGTATAGCTGGCTGATAAATTTGTTAACTGGCAAAAAATGGTTGAAAAGAAGAATCCTCAGGAGAATGATTGAGCTCAGGAGGATGACTGGATTGTTTTAGTAATTTTCCAAAAAAGAAAGGTTTGACTTTTTCTTCTGGATTGGTTATTAAAACAAATAGAAGTACTTTTTACAAGCACAAGTACAAAATTTTGATGTAGGCATACCCCTTTTCTGTTTGAAACTCCTTTAGTGCACAGCCAAGCACAACCAACAGTATGCCAATGGCAGCAGTAAATGACATCCCGATTATGCTATGGAAATATATTAGATGCGCGTATTATAGCAAACAAGATCCAAGTCTAAATGCATGAAAACTCTTTGATGATTATATAGTTTTGAGGTATGTATCCAAAACTGCAAACAAAAAGCTACCCAAAAATTATCTTTGACTACCTACGCTACATACATAAATCAACATATCTTTTTCTACTTTAACAGTTAACAAGTTAGATTTCCTACCTAATAGGTAAGATGTAATATCGGCGTAATAACTTACCCTGATACAGTACCCATTTTGATTCAAAGTCTTAATCCCAATCTAATTCGTGATATCGGAAGTTGGCCTAACTTCTTGTACACATAAATATACAAGAATAATCTATCAATTTTCCTCCTATTTTGAACAAAGCAAGTCCACAGCAAGCTTGGTGATCATTTCAAAAGCAATGCTGTTAATCGTCAGCAGCAAATAATCTAAAATATTGACGATATTTAACGATGAACCCAGACATTTGCAAATTGTTTGAAAAGTTCTCCTTCTGGTAATTTTCTTCGCGAACATGAAAGCGAGGTCATGACGCAATATCCTCTGTCGGGTGGGCAGGGCAACAATTCTTGACTTGATAACGAGTTCATGCTCGAAAGGTCGTGTTAACAATCAAACTATTATATTTTCATTCTGGTACTAAATTTATTTGCTAACTGTATTATCAACACAGAGGGGTAGACAATATTAGAAGTTACATGGTGATATGTCAGTGCAAAATGACGTGAAATGGAGCCACATCGTCTGGCCTGCAAAAGGTATACGCCATTCTAGCCTTACTGAGGGGGGGGGGCTAGCCTGGGGGTCAATATTCAGTTAGAGGGGCCTTTTCCCAACGTGAAAAGGGTTTTCACATGTTCATTTATTCATTCATTCATTTCAAATGTTTAAGGAGGGTAGCCCTTCAGCAAAGCTGATTTTCAAGGGGCCCTCCACTTAAAATACTTACAGAAATTCTTATAAAAAACAAATTATCCTATTTACAATTCAATATTTACAATCTAAAATAAATCTTATTTTAACTTGAACTTAACTTGAACAACAAATATCTGTAACGAAAGGCAAAATGGTAATTTTCAATACACAATTCACAATTACGCCTATTTACAATTTCGCAAGATTTTTTTGAAGTTGGTCAAGGAAGATGACTGTTTACACTCAGCTGAAAGGCCATTCCAAGAACTAGCACCTTTAAACGAGAAGCATTTCTGTCCAATTTTGGAGTTTTTCTTTTGTAGCCTTAGGTCAGTTGAAGAAGATTCCTAGAATTTAAATTGGATTTTTCTGTGAAAAGATCACGCATGCGATTGATGGCAAAGGCTCGTGTCATCTGCATGCATAGACACTTTTTTTTGGATAGCTAGTGGGTGGTTGTTAATATAAATGAGGAATAAAAGGGGTCCAAGACATGAGCCTTGGGGTACACCAACATTTATTTCCAATATTGATGAATCAACACCGTTTACCCTAGAATATTGCTTCCGGTTGTAAAGGTATGATTTAAACCATTCTAACTGCTGATGCTGAATACCATGTGAGACCGAATTTTCTAAATACTCCAGTGATCCGTTTGCGTTCAAGTCGAGATCACAGTAATAAAACATCGGAAAGCAGTGAACTCAATTTAATAATATTAACATCCAACTTTTAAAAACTGAATAACATCAAGGCAAACAAACAACGTTCGTAAAACACCTTAGAAACACGAAACAAAGTATTCTGAAGGTTCATTGACGATAATTCAACAATAAGGTGACAAGTCCTTTTGTAATTCAACACACGATGCCGCAGTTCTTTTCTTGTTAAATCAGCAGCATCGCAGCGCAACTACCACAACACCTCCCCACCTAGCCTTGAAGTTCAAGGCGAAGGCGAGAACATCTTCTTAGGCTTAGGGGCCCGTTTTGATCTTCGTGGTTTGTGAGGACCGTACTCTGGTGTAGCTGGCCTTCTTTCG